ATCACATCCGATGGGTATGTCTTTAGTTGGGGTAATAATTATTGCTATGATTTGGGACACAATATAAATGACGAGAAAGTAATGAAACCCCGATTGATATCAAACATAAAAAATGTGATTACAATAAGTTGCAGTATATTTGGGACATATTTTCATACAACAAATGGTTTATATGTTTGCGGAAATAAGTATAAAAATAAGATATTTTTAAATAAGGAAATGATTCAAAAATCTTCAAAACAAATACTATGTGAACATCACATCCAAAGTATACAACAAATTAATTCATGGATTAATTCCGAAAATAAAGAATTCATTTGTGTTTTAATAAACGATAAAATCTATAAAATATCAAAAGAAAACAAAATAATTGAAACAAATTATAGAAATTTTATCGACTTTTACGCCAATGAATACGAAATAACTTATAATACAATTAATTTAAGTGAAATTAATGAACAAATATTAACAACAAATGAAAGCAAAACTAATAATAAAATAATAATTGCAAATGAAAATGATGACAGCATTAGGGATATGTCAAGTGATGGTAACTATAAACATTATTTCAAAGATGTATACCATTGGTTGGGTAATCAGTTTAAAAGTGCAAAACCTGGTCAAACAAGTGATGGTAAATTTAATAACATTTTTTGTATCAATTAAACTAAATTATAAAATATGTTTGTATTTTAAGTGATGGATAAACAGCTGACAAAATCCATAACTATTGGAGAACAGCAACAATTACTACAGTCAATGCCTGTTTTAATAAACACTCCTAATTCACAACAGGGTAATTTTTCAAATAAATATTTACTGGAAAATGTGATAAAAATTATATTCAATTAATTTTTAAAGAGAAAACAAACAGTAAAACAATATTAAAGGCAAATGAANCTGACAATTCAAATGATGGTAATTATAAAACCCAATTCATTGAGATGTCAGCCATAGGTTCGGGTGGTTTTGGGACTGTATTTAAAGTAAAGCATAGATTGGATGATAAGATATATGCCGTCAAAAGAGTGCAATTTGGGGGTAAATATCAATAATTCTTTTTATATTCATTAAAAAAATTTAATAAAATATTTTCATAGAATTCAGTGAAGAAAAGAAACAAAAAGTTATAAACGAAGTAAAAATACTATCAAAATTGGACTCAAATTTTGTGGTCAAATATTACAACTCGTGGTTTGAAAGCAACCATATGTTCATTCATATGGAGTATTGCAATCAAACACTCGCGACTGTAATCAAAGACAAAGCCATAGTATTTGGCAGACAATCGTCAGAAGCGATGAATTTATACGAGTATTACATTTCTTGTGAAATACTTCGCGAACTCTTGCAATGCATTCAATACATCCACGCATTGAATCCACCGCTCATTCACCGGGACTTAAAACCCGCAAACGTTTTAATCGTAACCAACGCTAATAATTGTCGGTTTTTAAAACTATGTGATTTTGGTGTTGCCGTTGAGCACAACATGGTATCCATGAGCCACACGTCAAGTGTCGGGACCTCACAATATATGGCACCCGAAGTATATGAGAGCCGTTACGACACTAAAGTAGATATTTATAGTCTGGCAGTGATTTCGCAGCATTTATTTGATTTATTTAATATGTAATACATTTATAACACAATTATTTTTATAGTTACTCAAAATTATTTTTAATATTTATAATATTTTAGTGATAATCCTTTGGAAACGTACTTATTGACAACATTTTATGACAATTTTAACAAATTATATCAAACTATTGGAAGTATGTCTCAGGGAATAGCAGACAACCGGCCGACTAGTGGTCAAGTACTACAAGACTGTAACCAGTGGTCAGTCGGCAAACATTTGCTGATGGAAAATGATAAAGAATTGAATAGTATATTAAATGGGCTTAAATCTAATGAAAATACTTTTTTCTATGACTTTTTAATGTGTAAACTCAATAACACGGATGTGTCCACTCATTTGCCCCCTTCTATACATAGTCTACCCATTGATAATAATCACAATAACTCTAATTTATATGTGATTATATTTTGTGTTTGTATTGCAATTGTAATTAGGTGGTATAATTTATAAATAGAAAATTTTTAACCAAGAGCATATAATGGCATACTCACATTTATATTTTGTATTAAATATTAACACATTATAACCATATATTAATATGTAATAATATTAATTTATTTAAACACATTAATACATTAAATGTGTAGCACAATTAAAAATATTATTTTACAATAATTCTTTTGGAAGTAATAAAATCTTCATTGTATAATAGCGTTAATATTAGTCATCATAACTCGTAAAATTTTATGATGCTGTAAAAAATACTATTGGTTTAAATGATTATTTCCAAAGGATTTCACTGATTATAACAATTTTTATCAAAATGCTTTTATTACTATGTTTTTAACATTACTAATATTACATATATTTCTACATTGAACACGGAATTATTAATTTATTTTATAAAATTATTTAATAAATTATAGTTTAATAAATTACATATTATTGTTTTGTTTGTAATACTTTAATTATTTTATATATAATAAGTTATAATTGTTTTTAAAATGAGTGATTTCTTAGAATACTTTACAATTTGTGATACAATTTCAACAAATATAAAAGAAAAAATTATAAAATTACACGTTATTAACCTGAATAATAAATATAATGTATTATTTGTTACGAGTGATGATTTGGTTTACGGTTTGGGTAATAATAGCAATGGATGTCTTGGTTTTGGACACAACAGTCCTATACTATCGCCAGAACTGATACAACAATTATGTCATCAAAACATACAATACTTTGTCAATGGATGTGATTTTGTATTAGCAGTGAATGTTAAAAATATTGTATATGGATTTGGGATGAATGAACATGGACAATTAGGACGAGGTCAAATTAGTCGTAATGTTTATTTTACACCAGAAATAATAACATATTTAAATGACAAAAATATTGTACAAATCACTTGTGGTAATCATCACACTCTGGCGCTCACAAGTGATGGCTGCATATATGCCTGGGGTAGGAATAATAGGGGACAACTTGGTTATAATGGAGATGTAGGTGATTGTATTTATGGACCAGTTCATATTCAATGTACGTATCGTGGTAAACGTGGTAATCTACCGTATTCAATAAGCTATATTTATTGCTATAATGACTCTTCATTTGCCATCACATCCTGCAAACGTGTCTTTAGTTGGGGAGACAATAGTTACCATCAATTGGGACACAATATAACTGATAAGATAGTGTTGACACCTCGACGTATAGTAACCGTTCAATTATTGATAACAATTAGTTTTAATCCTTTTGGCACATATTTTCTTACGAGATATCATTATAAACATCGAAATCTAAAACAATTGTTGTTTTGTGGAGCATATGATAAAAATAATGAATCAATTATTGTTAAAACTCCGACACAAATACTATCTAAACATAATATTCAAAATACTGAGCAAATTAAATCGTGGGTAAAAATTACAGGTTTTGATTTTATGTGTGTTTCAATTAACGACAAAATTTATAAAATATCGAAAGAGCATAAAATAATTGAAACAAATTATAATAATTTTATTGACTTTTACGCCAATGAATACCAAATAACTTATAATACAATTAATTTGAAGGAAATAATAAAATCAAATTTAGTGCCATTAAAACAAACTACAAATAAAAATAAAGTTAATTTCAATAATAATGATAATCCAAGTTATGGTAGTTATGAAAAACAATTCATTGGCGTAAAAGTCAATAAAATTATTATAATTTGTTTCAATTATTTTATGCTCTTTCGATATTTTATAAATTTTGTCGTTAATTGAAACACACAT